ACCCCCCAATATAATGAAACTCTTATTCTACGCTCTTCAAACATAATGAAAAAATGCTGGAGAATTTAAGAACAATAAACGTTTCAACAAGAGGTAACAAAATTTTTGAATGAATTTCTATACAATTCTAACCTCTTTATATAGGAAATGGCTAGCCGAGATTTATTTTTATATAGGTATAGCGCCCAAAAGGTTGGCACTATACGCTTTTGAATTATTGAAGTCACGAATTATTGGTAGGGCCAGGAAATCTATGTATAGCGCCACTATACCTGGCGCTATACATTAATGCTGTATATATAGCGCCAGGTATTGTTGCGCTATACCTGACCATGTTAGCTTTAACAGTATAGCGTCACAATACCTGGCGCTATAACTTAACGGTTCCGTTACTGTTAGTATATAGCGTCAGGTATTATGACGCTATATATAAAAAAGTCATTTTATTTTTTTACCACATATTTATATAGTTTGAATAAAAAAAAACCATATTTTGATTCCGGACTCGCCAATAGCCACTTTTAAAGAGACGAATCAAAGAAAAGCAATCGATGGAAGAGGCAAAGGTGTCAGCGGATGACGGCTGCACTGGTGTTTATGTCTGCAATATAGATATAGAGACTCAGAGATTACGTCAATAGCCAAGTAAAACAAAAGACTTTAGTATAAGATCAAGTGTACTCTTAAGGCTCTTGTGATACCAAGCATAAACAATAATTAATTTCGAAATTAAATTTGAGATGAATTTATTTCATATTTGATTGAGATAAAATTATTGTAAAACTAATATCAAGATTATTTATCTCGAAATATAATTGTAGTGTTATTTTTATCCCTATAAAATGATGAGATAACAATTTGAAAATAACTACTTTCGGGATAATTAATACTGTAATAATTTATTTTCCAACCAAACGACCCCTAAGTATTCGTCGAAAATATTGGCTATTTCCACAAGGAGTGTAAATTTTTTTTTTTATATTTGTTGGGTGTGTATGAACACAAAGCCCCACGTGAAAAGTAGAAAAGAAAAATAAGCTACGTATAAGGAGTTTGATACTCTTAGCGGTGTGAGACTTTTTGAAAAAATTATGCGGACTTGGCCCAAAACAAACAATATCACACCATATTAAGAGTAGTTTTGAGCCGTTTTAGCCCAACAACTGGTATCGGTGCGAGCGATTTGGCAGGACGAATATAGAGATGACAGAGTAATGGCATAGGGGCCGGCTTAGTGCATTTGCTCGTGTATGGGCCGGTTTATTACCTTTACCTATAGCTTCAGCATATACAACATTTTCTTTGGGCTTCGGTGCCGTAAATACTCGAATCATGTTGGATCCACACAGTTAATCTCCAAATTACCCCATAAATGGCAATGGATCATGTAGAACTTAGTTCAAGGGGAAGATTGTTCGGTGTGTATGAACAAAGTTCTATGTGAAAAGTAGAAAAGAAAAATAAATTACTTATGAGGAGTTTGATACTCTTAATGATGTGAGGCCTTTTGAAAAAATCATGTGGGTTTGGCCTAAAACGAACATTATCACACCATGTTAAGACTATTTTTGGCCTATTTTAGCCCGACAATATTATGATTATCACGAATTACTTATTATTTTCTTAGGCTGTTATACCAAATTTAATATGACGAATTAGGTGTAATTATAAATTAATTTAACTTAATTTTGTAAAAAAATTTGTACAATGTCAGTTTACGGAACATAAATTCATTCATGAGACATGAATTAATATAGGCTATTTAAGGTGTCGTTTGGTTGAGAAACAAGTTATCTCATGATTAATTATCCCGAAATTAGTTATCCCACCCTCTCATAGGAATGAAAAAATACAATAATCCCGCCATAACTAATCCCCGATTAGTTATACCACAATGTTATCCCAACTAAGTGGGTGTTTGGACATAATAATTGTAAAATTCTATAAAAAAAAAAAAGGTAATTTTTTTTCAAGTAAAAATGGTATTTGAAAATTAGAATTGTGTTTGGACATAAATATAATTTTGGGTTGTTTTTGAATTTTTGTGAGTGATCTGAGTGGAAATTTTAAAAACGGCTTTTGGGAGTTTTTCAAATTTTCGAAAAATTCTACAAATCATCTTCAAATGAAAATTGAAAATTTTATGGCCAAACACTAATTTTGAAAAAAAAAAAAGTAAAAAGATTCTTATGTCCAAAGGGCTCTAAATATGGGATAAACTCATCTAGAACTTAATCTTGAAATTAATTATTCCTTATTTTTGTACGAAACGAGGCCTAAAGGATGTCCTATGGCATTCCTATTGAATTGGATTCGATTAGTCGATAATAAATGGCTGCTCACATCCTTCTTGTCGAGCAAACCATTAAATTTACTTCAGCCAAGTGGACACTGAGTAGTTAATTTGACGACTGCGATTGATGCTGTTGCATTTAGTACTTTATTAATTTAGCCCCTTTGATTCATCATTGTGTAATGCAAAGTCCGACCTGTATAGCAGCTCTGATCATCAACGGTCCTTAGATTTGGTTAGTTAATGTTGCTTAGCATACAAGTGCTGCCTTATATAAATCATCAAGATTTGTATTAGGACGGATATATAATCTCTCCGATCTTAACCATAGATCTCAAATTTAGAATGTAAAAATATTAGGAGGAAGTGCTTTTCTTTTTAATAAATCTTACAAATTATGAATTCGGATTAGTTGAGACCTTAATTCGAATATGAGGCACTGATACAATAGAAATTTTTCTATAAAAAAAGGGTAGCTAATATACTCTTGTTTGATATCCATCTATCAGAGCAGTTTCAAAATTGGTTAAGCGGAATTTATTGAGAGGAGAATAAATTCAATTTCTTTTTCTTTTCCAAAAAAGCAAAACTTGTAGAGCGGCGGCCGTTTTCAGTACCATATAAGAGAAATTAAATATAATGTACAACGACGCAATATATCAATTACTCCATATTGAAGAAAGTTTGTTGTTTAACCAAACTCTCCGTTGGGTGTTGATAATTAGATGAAAACTGAATTACCGAATTAAAATTGAACAAAAAATGGAACAAATCTAAATCAAGAATAAAATAGAAAAGGAAAAGAGGAAAAGGAAATTCGAATCATACCGTATTTAGTAGGCTTGATTTTTGTATAATATTTTAAGAGGCCGAATATCGATAACACCAAATCAAAATTTTTGAAAATCATATTGTTGTCTCTAACTTTAAAATTCACACGAAGTAAACATGAAGGTTAGAAAATGGTCGCCATTAATAAATAATTGAATATTAGAAATAACGAATTGTGTTATAAAACAATAAAAGAAGAAGAAGAAGAGTATTGCAGAGAAAAGTATTGAGAGAGAATTCTTATTGCTTTGAGATGAATTACAATGGAATAGAACCCTCTATTTATAGGGAGAGAGTGACTTAGCCAC